TTATCTGCTTGGGTAGAATTGGCTCCTGGCTAAGTTCCCAGAAGGTCTTAGGATGCCCAAGGCCCCTAGAGGGATCAGTTCATACCCACCAGTTTCAGTCAGTGCCCACTCTTACCCCTGCCCCTCTGAGTGAAGCCTCTTTGGCATCTAAGTGTCTTTGGAGAGTGGGTCAATTTCATATTGCCACTTCAGTGTGCTGCCACATTTATAGTGGCTTACAACAACCAAGTTAATTTTCTTACAGTTCTGGAAGTCAGAAGTCCAAAATTAGTCTTAGTGGACTGAAGTCAAGGGGTCATCAGGGCCAGTTCTTTCTGGAGGCTCCAGAGAAAACTCTGCTTTCTTGCTTTTTCTAGTTTCTAGAAGCTGCCTGGATTTCCTTGGCTCACAGCCCCTCCTCCACCTTCAACTCCAGCACGGGATTTGAGGCATCCTCCCTGTTTTTGACCCCTGGTCTGGTTCTTATATCTTTTCTCTCTGACTCCAGTCTTCCTGCCTCTACCTTATGAGGACTAGGAGGTTACATAGGGCATTCCTGGATAGTTTCAGGCTAATCTTATCCCATTTTGAGATCCTTATTTTGATCACATCTGCAAAGTCCTCTTTACTATGTAAGGTAACAGTCACAGGCTGTGGATTTAGAAAATGGATGTCTTCAGTGGATCACAATTCAATTATCCAGTCAATTTCAGAACCTAGACTTAGGGAGAAGAGTGTATTGGAACTCCTGTGCTGGAATGGGAAATTATAGATAGTCCCCTAGGTGGGTGACCATGTACCGACGTACATGCTTAGCTGTAGAACAGCAAAATCCATTTGCTCTCTGGGCATATTTAGATTCTCCTTTTTGAACTATTCAAGGGCCTTTATTCAGAGAAATGTATACTCACATGAGATGTCCACATCTCCTCAAAGCCACGGCCATTTCCTTCCTTCTTCCTTCTGTTCACGGAAGTCACTGAGTGCCCTCCCGGTGGGAGGTGGCATGCTGGCAAAATCCGAGTTGTCTCCAACACATATCCTTTCTTTTGTGGAGCTTAATTTTTCTCACAAATGGGAAAGAGTAACAAAGTCATTTTTATCTGGCTCTGAGATGTGTTTTGTACTTGTATTTGAGCGTGGGTGGGCCTGATGTTCTGGGAACTCACTTCAAACAAAACAGCAAAACGGTAAATAAGTATCACTCTGTATCACTAGATGCATTGAAATTTCAGGTTGTTAATCTTGCAAGCTAAGAATTTTAGGTTTTTGCCTTTCTTTTACTTTATTAGGATGATGTGTCTTTTCCTAATGAAGATTTTAGTTTAAAATAGGTGTTTAGCTACGATTCATGTAAAATCACTTCTAATGAAGGTTAAATATAGTTTGGGACAGTAGGTATAGGGTAAGCAAAGTGCTGGCTAGCCCTCTTGTTTTTTTATGCTGGATCTCAGTGGGTAAGTTCCTGCAACCTGGGCATACTCTGAAAAGCACTTGTCTCTGTGGCTGATCTACAGATGCCCAGCGTAGTCAGCCTTCCTGGTTGGGAACATAGCTCTTCCTCCCATGCCCTTCCCAAGGCAAAGAGGAGTCTCCAGCAAGATCTCTCTTCAGCCCAGAATGTGAGTGGAGAAAATACAACTGACTTCTCTGGAAAAAACATAACCAACCTTGTCTTACTCTGGTCATGGAAACCAAATTGGCACCTCATTATCGCCTTGTTAGTAAGGACAGTCTGTGTGCTGGACAAACCTGGTAGGAAGAGTTGGCCCTGTGTGGGCTGGGTTTTGAGTTAAGCTTAATTGCTCTTCTAAAGCTGAACTACCGAATGCTACCCAAGTCGAAATCCATCATCAGACTTGACCATCCTCTTCTTTTGTATTTCTGTAGTGCCTCCCCATTCCATTGCCGCCAAGATTTGTGCTGGGCCACATTGGAGTCCCCAGAGCTTGGCGACAACCAGGGCAACTCCACCTCCCTGAAAAAAAAAAAAAAGAAAAGGTCTATAACTACCCTTCACCTTGGCCTTCCCAGTATCTTAAAATGCCAGCTTGTTCTGCCCTTGGAGCTCAGCAGGTCTGCTAGCTGGGTGGCTCTTTAACAACTTCACAGCAAGTGTTTGACTTTTCACACAAATAGGAAAGAGTAACAGGATCATTTGTGTTAATCAGCTTTATGTCACTGTGAAAAATACCAGAGAAAACCAACTTAAAGTAGGAAAGATTTACTTTGGCTCATGACTTCAGTCCCTGGTCAACCAGCTCCATTGCTTTAGACCCCAAGTGAGGCCTAAAGAACCCCAAGGCAGAAGGGTGTGGCAGAGGAAAGCAGCCTACTTCACAGTGGCCGGGAAGGGGAGAGGGGAGGAAGATGGAGGAGGAGAGGGAGCAGGGGAGAGAGTGCGTATATGGCAGGGGACAAGAAATACCCTTCCAGGACATGCCCCCCCCCAGTTACCTACTTCCTTCATCCAGGACCCCCTCCCACAGCCTCCACTGCCTCCCAGTGGTCCATTTAGGTATCAGTGGATTAGTACAATGATGAGGTCAGAGCCCTCATGATCCATCAGTTCCCCAAAGCCCTGACTCCGAACACTGCTGCATTGGGTACCACCAGGCCTTTGGGGAACACTTCACCTCCAAATGATAGCATCATTTTTATATAGCTCTGAGATGTATTTTGTACTTGTATTTGAATGTGGGTGTGTCTGATGTTCTGGGAACTCACTTCAAATAAGACAGGAAACAGCCGATGAGGGTGTATCAAAGGGACTGCATACTTTAATTGCCTGATGCTTCTCTTCTTTTCAAAGCCTGATTGGAGTCTGAATCCTACATGCTCACCAGCCATCCTCACCAAAGCGAGTGTTTACTAAAGAGGCCATCTAATCCCTCCGAGCTGTAAGGTTCTTGCCTTGCAAAATTGGGGTGAAAATGACCAAATGAAGTGACACAGGCGAAGCTCTGGCCACACCGTTGTATCATAATAGATGTGCTCAGTGTTTCCTACTCCCCTTCCTCCTCTCCACCTCCACGCTGCCTCCAGTGCAAAGCGCAAACCCAAGCAGAAGCCGACGTCCACTCCAACGTGGAAGAGGTGCAACAGGCCTGTCTCCAAAGTGGGACAGTTGTGACATGCCACCACTTTCCACACGTCTCCTCTTCTTCCCCATCTGAGCTTCTTTCTCCTTTTTTTGCTTCATCGTCATTGGACTTTTGTTGCACAGTGTCTGGGACAGAGGAGACTAAACGGTCCCAGCTGGGATTTCCCACCCCACCTCCCGTTCACGAGCATGCTGACTGCATGGCCTGCCCCATGGCCTGCCCCGTCTGTGGCAGTCCTGATTTCAGATTCCACAGGCCTCTTCTTCCCATTTAGATGTCTTAGAAATCCAGTTCATCAAATGTCGAACACATTTCTTGATTATACCCACTTCCCACAAGGGATCCTTAAGACCTCAGAGCCCTGACTCTGGTAACCACTCATCCCAGACTTTCTGGCAAAGTCTGTCTCATTTCCAGACTAAGTGTCCTCATTGGGTCCACAAAACACCATAAGCAACCAACACAGATCACCTGAATGGCCCATGTCAGGCAGAACACCACTCCCCTCCTTGCTGTCCCATAAGCTCTCCATGAGAGCTAACTCRTGCCTACTACCCCAAATTTAGATTTTTCACTTGTAATTTTTGGGTTGTTGCTTATGTTAGTTGGGTTTAAGAGCTGAGTTGTTATTCTGGGATGTGAAATGAGGACAAGGATGAAAATAAGTTTGGCAAAGATATGCATACAGTTCACTCTGCGTGCAAATCTGAAACCTGCTTTTTTCACTTAACATTGGAGCATATGGATTTTCTCATGTCATTAAATGTTTTTTTTTTTTTAAATTTTTGTTTTTGTAACCGGTGACTTTACCTAAAAGATTCAAGGTAGTGTTTATCATTGGCAATGATGGGGAGGGTGGGATGGGGAGAGCAAGGACCCAAGGGGGCTTTAGCATTCTGGAATGTTTTCTATCTTAGGCTTGAAACTGAATAAACTTTTTTTTTTTTTTTTTTTTTTTGGTATTGAGGATTGAATCCAGAGGTATTTTACCACTGAGCTAGATCCTCAGCCTTTATTTTAAAATTTTGAAAAAAAAATTTAGACAGGGTCTTGCTAAGTTGCTGAGGCTGGCCTTGAACTTGCAATCCTCCTGTCTCAACCTCCAAGTCCCTGGGGTTATAGGCATGTGCCATCCTGTTTGGCTGGATATACTTTTTTTTAATGTCTTAAATTTTACATAATAAGGTAGAAATTTAAATATCTTTAGTAAATGATTACTTGATATTTAATTATGTAGATATAATTTACTCAGATCAAATCCCATCTTCCCACTATTGGATGTTGGTCATTTTCAACTTGGAACTCTTAAAACAATGTAATGTTAAATATCTTCAGATATTTTGTCTTAGAATAGATTTATAGAATTGAAATTTGGGTAAAAAAATATGGGTGTGAGGAATTCATATTGCCAGACTACCTTTTACCAAAGCAGTATGAATTCAGACTAGTACTGACATTCTATCTATTCCATGTAATCTCTCCAGGGCTGGGAATGTAGCTCAGTGATTCAGTGATAGAGAGCACTTGCCTAGCGTGCATGAGGTCCTAGGCTCAATCCCCAGTGCCAAAAAAGAAAAGAAAAAAGGTATCACTTCCACTTAATTTCTCCAGCACTGGTTCTATTTTTATTATCATCATTATTTTTAATGTTGGCTGTTTTGCTAGGTAATTTTGTTTCTAATGGTTTCCATTTGTATTTCTAATTACCAGGGAGATGGCACGTTTTGTCATATAATTTTCCAGTGGCACTTGTGTCTTTTTAAAACTTGTTAGCCTAGATGTTTTCAACTCTTTTGTATGTGGCAGCCACATAGAAGGGTCTTATTTATGGGGAGGGGGACCAAAGATAAGCAAAAACAGTCCCTTGTCCCCTTCATTGAAACCAGCTGTGCACCTAGACCTCTCGTCTTCCTGCAGTGCCGCCAAGCTCCTGGACAAGCAGCCCTTCTCTGTGCGAAATCCGAACCCTCTGCTACCTTCGCCTGCCAGTCTCCAGCTGGCCCAACTGCAGGCACAGCTCACCCTCCACCGGCTGAAGTTGGCACAGACAGCTGTCACCAACAATACTGCGGCCGCCACGGTGCTGAACCAAGTCCTCTCCAAAGTGGCCATGTCCCAGCCTCTCTTCAACCAGCTGAGGCATCCATCTGTGCTCGGTGCCTCCCACAGCCACACTGCAGTGCCCCAGCATGCTGCAGCCCTACCCAGCGCCCGGTTTCCCTCGAGTGCGATTGCTTTTTCACCCCCTAACCAGCCACGAGGCCCAGGACCCTCTGTGAGCCTTCCCAGCCAGCCTCCCAGTGCCGTGGTGATGCATCCTTTCAGCGGGGTGATGCCTCAGACCCCTGCCCAGCCAGCCGTCATCTTGGGCATTGGCAAGGGGGGCACTGCTCCAGCCACCACGGGATTCTACGAGTATGGCAAAGCTAGCACTGGCCAGGCATACGGCTCTGAGACAGACGGTCAGCCCGGCTTCCTGCCAGCCTCAGCCTCTGCCTCAGGCAGTGTGACCTACGAAGGGCACTATGGCCATGCAGGACAAGATGGCCAACTTGCCTTTTCCAAAGATTTCTATGGACCCAATGCCCAAGGGTCCCACGTGGCAGGTGGATTTCCAGCTGAGCAAACTGGGGGCATGAAAGGCGAAGTAGGGGCCCTGCTGCAGGGTGCAAACAGCCAGTGGGAGAGCCCCCCTGGATTCTCTGGCCAGAACAAACCTGATCTTGCAGCAGGTCCCAGCCTGTGGCCTCCACCGCCCAGCCAGCCCTATGAACTGTATGACCCCGAGGAACCCACCTCAGACAGGACCCCTCCCTCCTTCGGGGGTCGGCTCAACAACAGCAAGCAGGGCTTCAGCGGTGCCCGGAGGCGGGCCAAGGAGGAGCAGGCCATGCTGTCTGTGCGTCCCCTGCAGGCTCACGAGCTGAATGACTTCCACGGTGTGGCACCCCTTCACCTGCCGCACATCTGTACCATGTGTGACAAGAAGGTGTTTGACTTGAAGGTGAGTCATCCAGGGCAGGCTGGGAGCCACAGCTGGCAACCTACTCAGGCTCCCGGCCCCATCCAGCTGGGCCAGAAGGTGGACATTTGGGGACTAGAGAACAGAACCTTGCCAGGACCCTTGATTGAAATGACAGGTATTAGAACCTAAAGGAATTCACAAATGTGTCGGGGGCCCGGCCTTGCTTTAAGGCAAGTGAGAGATTCCTTGCCTCATTTATAGATGAGCAAGCTGAGACCCAAGGGGATGGAGTGACCCCACCTGGGGTGCAGAGAGGGCTCTGGGACTTGTCTCCTGCCTCCTTGTGGAGGGCTCTTCCTCTGTGGTGGGCCTAGAAGCCACTATTCCTCAAGCACACGCATTGGACTGAGTTTGAAAGGAAAAGAAATCGTAGAAACTTAGAGTCATGGGCAGGGAGCAGTTTTTAGGTGGGACTTAGACAAATTATTATAAGGGGCCTCAGCCTCATGACACCTCCCCACTGGTTTTAAGGTGCTTTGAACTGCTATAAACAAAAGCCCATGATAGTGTAATTATCCCCCCCCAAATTTATTGATGATGCAGTGATATATTCCAAAGCGATGATGATTGTAATAACTGACGTATATTAAACCCTTTCTGTGTGCTGGGGTGACTCTATGAGGTATACCTGGGGCTATCTTCACTTCACAAACAAGAAAACTCAGGCACCGAGACGAAATGGCTCACCTCAGACCTCCTATCTAGAAAGTGGCAGAGGAGAGATTCAAACGTGGCATGTAACTCAGTGGTGGGTCCTTGTTAGCACTTGTGAGGCCCTGGATTTGATCCCCAGCACTGCAGAAACCAAAACCAAAGACGTGTCTGACCCGCCCCTAGCCTGTGCCTCTTAGGTACTGGACTGTCCTGCCTCCCATTTCTCATTCAGTCACGGAATATAATGAAGTCCTTCCTTAGTGGGAGTCACATCACAGGGTGTTACTCACCTCTGCCTGGGTCAGATCATCCATGTGTGTCCCTGTGACTTGGTGGGACATGCCCTCTCCCTTCCAGCTTGGGGAGGGAACTGGCTAACTCTGGAGGTGCTCAAGGATTGTGTCTCCCATAATCCTTTTCTAAGGCCTTTTTACTGGTGAGTCCACAGGTCAGAATCTCCCAGTTGGCTATAGAAATGGGTGTGTTCTCTCTGTAAGAACAGAAGGAGCAGCAGGTGGGTCCCAGGGTCCAATGAAGGGGAAGAAGGAGTCTGACTGTGAAGTTTGGGTTACTGTCCAAGATGGGCATGGGATGTATGGACCAGAGGCCCCTGGAGTGAGGGCAGGGGGAGGAGGCAGGAGCAGGGGGCGGAGGGAGGGAGAGGAAGACATGCATGTGCAGGGTTGGACCAGCCTCTGGGAGCTCTGTGTTCCCTGCCTGACGATTACTCTGCACTCATCCTCTGCCTCCCCCGTGATGCAATTTTACTTTAGTCATCTTTCTTTCCTTCTGGCCTAGGACTGGGAGCTGCATGTGAAGGGGAAGCTGCATGCTCAGAAATGCCTGGTCTTCTCTGAAAAGTAAGTGCTCTTCCAGAGATTGGATTCATGCGTGCGCTCAACAAGATCTATAACACCTGTTGTCTGTTGTGCTCTGTGCTGGGTGCAAGGGAAACCATAGAGAACAAAATAGGCCAAGTCTCTGTCCTCGAGGAGCTTACACTCAATGCAGAGGATACACACAATGAAAAATTAGCATTCCTGGTGGTAAATGCTAAGCAGAAGGCAGCACTGGGGCAGGGTGGGAAATGTGTGTGCATTCACGTGGGCACTGAGGGGCTGGTCCTTGCATTTCAAAGAGGGCATTTGGAAGAGACTTCATTGAGGACACCTCAGGAGAGGATGGAATGAGCCTGGGGCTGTCTGGGGGAAACACATTCCTGGCAGACTGGACAGCAGATTTGAAGGCCCTGCAGATGGTGTGGACCTAGGATACTAGACAACATCCATTGTGATCAGGGCAGAAAGGCAGGGAGAGAAGCCAGGGAAGTACCAAGGCCCAGGTCCAGAGACCCAGCCACTGTGAAGACTCAGTGCTGCTGTGTGATTGGAGCTATTGGAGGGTTGAGCAAAGCGGTGATGGGCTCAGACTCCAGGACAGGTCCCTGACTGCCATGCTGAGAATAGACACTCAGCAGCCCAAGTAGATACCTAGAGACCAGTGGAGGTGGAGAAGAGAGGGTCTGGCCCAGGGGTGTAGAATAGACAACTGGGTTCTGAATTTTGAAATGGGCCCCTTCGTAAGATCTCCCCTTATTATTCGCAGCAGCCAGGATTCAAGAGCAGCTGGAACAAATGAATGGGTAACAAAATGTGGTCTGTGCACACGGTGGAATATTACTCAGCCTTAAAAAGAAAGGACATTCTGAAACATACCTCAGCATGCTTGAACTTTGAGGACATTGTACTGAAATAAGCCAATCGGAAAAGGACATATACTGCGTAATTTCACTTGTGGGAGGCATTTAGAGAGGACAGACTCATAGAGACAGAAAACAGATGGTGGTTGCCAAGGTGTGGGAGGCTGAGAGTCAGTGTTTGGTGGACACAGAGTTTCTGTTTTGCAAGATGAAGAGTTCTAGAGATGGATGGCGGTGGTGGTCGCACAATAGTGTGGACGTGTTTTTATGCCACTGACCCAGTATCTTCAAAATATCGAAGATGGTCAATTTTATGTTGTGGTTTATCACAACTTAAAAATAATTTAAAAATTTATAATATGGTGGCATTTAGCACATTCACAAGGCTGTGCAGACATTACCACTATCTAGTTGCAAGATATCTTCATTCCCCCCAAAGGAAGCCTCAAACCTGTTAAGTCTCTGTCATTTCCCTTTCCTTCCCCCACCTCCCAGAACCACCCATCTGCTTTCTGTCTCTAAGGATTAGCCTCTCCTGGACATTTCAGGTAAATGGAATCCTATGTGACCTTTTGTGACTAGCTTTTAAAAATTTAACATAATATTTTGAAGCTTCATTCACACATAGACCTTTTTATGGCTGAACGATATTCCACTACATGTGTATGACATTTTGCTTAACCATTCATCTTTTGATGGGCACTTGGGTTGCTTCACAGAATATTATTACTGCGAATAATATTCACAGTATTCAGCATGGTGAATACTGCTGCCATGAACAGTCGTGTACAAGTTTTTGTGTGAGGACCTGTTTTCAACTATTTAGGGTCTGTACCCAGGAGTATAATTGTGGGGGCGTAAGGTAATTTTTCATTTAATTTATTGAGAAACTGGTTCACCCTCTCACCTCTCTCCAGTGCTGACATCCGGTGTGTACTGGCTTCGGCAGAGGGAGCACTGTGTGGCTCCCCGACTGGCACAGCTGTTTACAGCCCTGCTGGAAATGAAGGTGAGCACAGCCCTACAGGTCACAGTTTGCAGTCAGCTACTGCAGGCTTGTTATGTCCTGTCTTTAAGAACCAGGACTTCTCTGATGCGTCCTTCCTGTGCATTTATAAAGCAAACAGATTCCAAGCCACTAGCATGCATCAGTATTCCCGAGATATTTCATACTTACAAGTATTGCTGATTACAACATGCCCAGAGGTGTAATCATGCCAATCACTAATAAATGTGTTAAAAGGAAATTTTTAGTTTTCTCATCCCATGTATGTCCTTAGCATGACTCCAAAGTTTTCACCTGGCTTGTATCACTTATTATTTAGAATATGCCTCAAATCTTGGAACATCATACGCAGCCATTCCAGCAAGGCCGTTTGCTCAGTCAAATCCTGCATTTCCTTCTGGGACAAATGTGAGTACAGAAAAGCCTTTTCTCCATTGTCATCCCCAAAGCATTTGCTTTACTTGCTGCTTCTGGGCTTAGAGGTGCAGAGGAGGCTGGGATGCGGCTGTGAGGATGAGACTTTGTGTCCTTCAGAAAAGCATCCCTAGACGGAGCCAAGAGGTGCTGCCTTCAGTCCAGCTAGTATCGAAACATGCATGAAGAAGCTGACAAAATTCTTCAAATCAAAGGCATCCACTGGCTTTCTAGCGGTCAGCACTGGTTTAGAAAACACAACGAAGTTTGAGCTTTTATTTTTTTTTTAATTCTAAAATCATTTCTGATGTTTTATTAAAGTAGATCATTCCCTGTGTGAGGGTAATTCTGAAACTTGAGCCAAAAAGAGAGAGTATTGGGCAGTAGGGACCACATACTAATTGTGCTTGCTGACCCCTTGGGCAAATGATTGGTGCCATCTAATGATTTTTGTTTTCTGTTTTTAGTTTTGTTCTCTCTGCATAACATGCATTTAGTACCTCAAATTCTTAAAGCTTCATCTTTCCATTGCCCAACGGTTGTGACCCCCTTTCTTACACTACACTCCCTTTCTTACACTTCTTGCACACCTGCTGTGTGCAGCCTCCCACTCTGGCACGTGGGACATGAGGCCAAACAGGCTACAAAGCAAAATGCGCCTGTGGCTGCACCCAGCTAGAGGGCGCCTGGCTCAGTGTTCTTCCCTCTGCCTGTGTTTTTCAATTTCTGTTGAGTGGAGCTGCAGCCTTTCTCTCTCCTTGTGCACAAGCTCTCTGCAGCCGCCCTCCACGTGCTGTCCCCTTCACATGTTGGGGCATTTGTGCAAAACAGGGAAAGAGCAGGCTGTGAAGTGTAGCTTCTAGACCCAGGTGGGTGAGTGAGTGGGGAGGAGGGAGGTTCATCACCACACACGAGGCCTGTCCGGGGCCCCAGAGTCTGTCTATTCAAGTCTGTTTTTGTGATGTTGTGTGGGAGAAGGGCTTCGAGATAGCACCTGTCTGGAAGCCCACATTTTCATGAAAGAGAATTTGATGGTTTCTTTCTGCATTCTCACCACTTAGAGCCAAGTCCAGGTCACTGGCAGCTTTGGGTCAATCTCAGGAAAGTGGAATGCTRGTGTGAGGTCCTTTGTCTTTAAGGACAGACCCCTAGCAACAGAACTTTATGTTCTGTGCCCTGACCCCCAGGGCACAGGGGGGTTTCTAGGCCCTATGGGTAACAGAGGCACCTGTGCCCACATCCTGCCCTGGGACTCCAACCCCAGGCACTGAGGTGGAGGGGACTGTAACTGAGATAGGGAGGGTGGGAGTGGGTAACAAATGGCCCAAGGGTCAGAGCTAGTACACAGACCACTTCTAGAGGTCTGGGCACAAGACAGAGAGTTGGCATCAAATGAGCCCCTTATAAAGAGAACTGGAGGGACCAAGGATGTAGCTCAGTGGAATAGAGAGCACTTGCATGCAATGATTCCTCCCCCTAGTAAGTCCTCCATTCCCTCCCTCTCTCACCCCATAAGCTGCTTAGGAAGATCTGAGACTACCTTGGGGATGGCAGGGATTTCCCTAGTCTCAGCCAACCATGGAGCAAGATAAAGAGGCCAGTCATGTGGGGCATCCAGATTCTTCTGCACTGGGACAGCATTCCCAAGATGAACTCAGGCATTTGAAGGCATTTTCTATAAACTCCATGTAAGGGGAAAGCACTATTTGACTGGCTTTCTCATTATAAGTTCTCTGAAGTCTTGCTGGTCACTCGAGCCTTCCCAAGGACATCTGGGGGAGAGCGCAAAGGCTGCCCCAATCAGTTCCTGCTTTACCCATGGCTGATGTTCATTCACACCCTCTGTTAGATTTTGGAGCCGTGTTAGTCATTTTTGGCAAATGGAATTGAAGGCACCCGTATTTCTCTTTTGGAAAACCTGAAATGCAAATGTATTAACATGTGAAGACAAGTTGAGAAATGAAGAGCTGATTGATCAGTTACTGAAAAACATTTTTCAGGACTCCTTTAAGGAGCTGGAGAGTCCCTCAGATAGATTATTGATTTTTTTTCTTTGTACAAATACTGATCTTCAAAGACATGCAGGCATCAAAGGTTGACTCTGCTGTTACCAAAGGGTGCTCTGCCAGGCTCCAGTGAGTGCCGAGAGCCTCTTTTGCATACAAATTTATGATTTTCCTGCATACAAATGTTATGCTTATTGTGAAAATTCACACAGAAAATAAGGCCTTAATAAGGAGAGGGTAACCCCCCTCAGAGATCTCGAGAGGGCTTTGATGCATTTTCCCCCACAGGCGTGTGCCGGGGTCTTCTGTTGAATTCCATTCACGTACATCTTTTCAGAAACACGTTTTGTTGGGTAAAATCAGGCACAGCCAGGAATCTGCCACTGTAGGATCACAATTGTCTGTGGTGCAAAGAGCCTTACTGCTTCTGAAGCGCCCTGTATTTAAGCAGGAGAACCAAGCCCCCCCGGGGCTTTGGGATGGAGCCTATAGAACATACCTGAACTGCTCTGAATCTCCACTGACCCCCAAAACCATTGGCCACCACCACCACCCAGCTCTTCTGGCAACAGCTGGGCTAAATTTAAAAAACTTGCCTTGTCTCTGCTGGAGTCCAAACATTTCACTCCATGTTTATTTCTTGATGTTGTTGTTATTATTTGGTACTGGGGCTTCTTCTTCTTTTTTTTTTTTTTTTTTTGGAGTGCTTAACCACTGAGCCACATCCCCAGCCCTTTTATTTTTTCATTTTGAGATGGGGTCTCACCAAGTTGCTTAGTGCCTCACTAAGTTGCTGAGGCTGGGTTTGAACTTGAGATCTTGCCTCAGCCTCCCCAGTTGCTAGGATTACAGGCGTGCACCACTGTGCCTGACTCTCCGTGTTTATTTTTGACAGTGGACTGATACTTGTGTGCTGTGTTTGCTGGCGGCAGGGTTATTTGTGTCTGTCCCCAGTCCCTCCCACCTCACTCCAGGGTCTTCAGAGATGGGTGTTCCATTTCACTTAAGCTGCCTCCATTTGACAGAGCAGAGGCTCCTGCTCCTTGGCCGCCTGAATAGTCATAAACAGCGTAATCATGTTTCTGGAAGGGGCTGCTGGGGCCTTCTCAGGCTGTAAATAGTTTTCTTGTGCCTGCCTAAGGTGCATTTTGCCTGTAACTGTCTCCATAAAACCGTCTTGYAGGTTTCACAGCCACCTAGGAGTTTATTTAGTGCAGGTGCTGTGAATGGGCCTCTCCAGCCTGGGACGAAACACATGGTTTTTATTATTTCTTTCTCACCAGTTCCCCATACTCTGGGGACTTGTGTAAAAAAGGAAACTGAGACTCAGGGAAACAAATGTTTGTGGAAGACCAAAAGGTTACGTCATAGGTTATCCCTCAGACACTGGCTGTTTCTAGGACATCTGTCTGTCCTTCTGAGTTTATGGCTCAGAGTACTCTAGTCTCCTGACTTCTTGAGCCTCAGTAGTAGTAAATGATATGGCCTCTTCTACCTGTGCCCTGTCCCTGCCCCACCATCCCAGCTGACATGATTTCTGACCCCTCAGCAGGGGACATTTTATGCATTTTTCAGCTACACGGGAGGCTAGGCAGGAAGATCGCAAGTTCTAGGCCAGCCTGAGCAACTGAGTGAGACCCTGTCTCAAAATGAAAAATAAAAAGGGCTGGGGATATAACTTAGTGGTAGAGCATCCCTGGGTTCAATCCCCTGTACTGCAAAAACAAACAAAAGTAACACAAGACGGGGATATGACATTTGTCCTCCTGTCTCTGTGAGTGGCCATCTTGTGAAGAGCTTTTGTTTTTTTTGGAAAAGAAGTAACACATGATGTAAAATAATAATAATAATAATAATAATAATAATAATTTCTGACATTAACAAATATGAAAAAACAGAAACTCCTTTTTTGCAGAGAAAACTATAGATGTCTTTTACTATAACTACAGATAATTTTGGCTAATGTATGTATACATGTTTAATGAATAAAAGTCTATTTTTTTGCAAAAGTCAAGTAATGCCATATAATCTATCAAGCAGTTTAGTGTTTTTTGCTTAACATGAGTTCTCATATTTGAATTGATTTCCAACACCTTCCCATATCAGAACATAGTCTTATTTTATAACATATTATGTGAATTTACCTTCATTCATCAATTCTGTGATTGATAGTTTTCGGTGAGACCTGAGTTTTAATCACAATCTGCCACTGTTAAATTGACTGCAGATTAATTTCCTCATCTTCTCCCGGGCTTCAGTGTCCTCACATAGTTTGGGGTGTAGGCCAGACTACCTCTAGTTTAATCCCATGATTCCAAAGTTTACAGGGATAAAGTTGCCAGCATGTGAACCACCCAAGATCGCAGGTAGGTCTGGCACCGGTAAAAGTGAATTCACTCAAGTCAAAGCTAGTTTGCTCTATAAAATATTTGATAGTGTCAATAAAGGCTTCCATGTTAAACTAAGATCTATAGCAATGAAATCCATGCCCATTTGCCGTCTGCAGTATTACCTTCAGAGTTGACATCATGAGGAGTAAACATTTGCCCTGTATCTGTCCTTAGGTGTGTTTAGCACACAACCAGCAGAGGTCTGCAGACTCTGTGCTACATGCAATTAGGTCACACAAAGAGAGGAGGCTGAGGCACAAAAATCACTTACTGAAGATCGAATCTATACTCCCAAGTTCTAGGAAGCATGTTGAGAGACTTCTTTCACCTGACAGGCCTGTTGCCCCGAGCCACATCCTGATTGAAAGTTATTTGAACTGGGCCTCTTCTTTGAACTCACGTGCAAAGCCTGTTCCTACTTGCACCAAAGGGCATTGTAAGGTCTCAGAACCTTGTTTTCAAGTCTGTTTGCTTCTTGCATATTTCGCCTCGCTATAAAAGATTTGTGGGTGAGTTGGGAGGTCTGGGCCCCAACCATCTGAACTATTAGAAGCAGCATCTGGTTTTAAACGAGCAACCTCAGTGAGCRAAAATGCAT